ACACACACACATACACACAAATTTGTAAATTTACTTATTATCTTGTTATTGATATAATTAAAATAAGTCTCGTATAGAATTCATTTCTTGAATGTTGCAAATCATTAATTTTATTTCTTTATGTTAAAAGAAAAAAGATAGTATATATAACTGAAGATAGTAAATATATAATATTTCTATATTTATTTTAAAAGCACAAGTCTGTACATATTCCTGTCATATTATTTTTTAATTTATTATTCTGAAATCCAAAAATTTATCTAGATTTCTTATTTATTATAATATTTGTATAGGAACAAAATATTTAATAAAAAGTAACAGTACATCACATATCACATTTGATTTCACAAGATTTGTGAATAAAAAATACAATTAAAATTTATAAAAATAATTAGAATTTTTTTAATATTTTATAAATCAACTGAAATATATATAAATCTTACAATGATAAACATGTTTTAAATGCTGCTGATATTTGATCACGGTGCAAAAAATATTCAGCTCTAAACATTCTTGATTTGCCGCTAAAACTAGTTGTAAAAATAATTAATACATACAAAATGATGAGGTACAAAGAAGAAACATGAAGTTCATGTGACTATGTTTGAAAAACCTTAATGATACTGTCAAAAATATATGATTTACGATATCCTAGATCATATAATGTAACTCGTGATTTTATTTATACTTTGGCCCGAGTTACTCCAACAAAATTGGAATTAACTATGTCAATCGCCGAGACAATGATGATTAAAATATTAATATACAGTTATATTACATAGAAAAAAATTTTTCAATTATTTCTTCGATTGGTTGTGGCCGTCTTTTAGGATCAATTGTTGGTTCTTTTGATTCCAAGTGTTTATCTCTTAACATTTTCCAATTATTTAATATTGTTGCATATTCTATAATTTTGTCATATTCATTTAATTTTGTGTAAACATTTAAAAGTCCGTGATAATCATATTCTAGACCACTATAACTTTTACCGAATAATTTCAAACCTAGTATGAAAATTTAATTAAAACAATGATATATAAGTTTAAAAAAAATATTATATACATACTAATTCCAATACTCCTGTAATAAAGCCTTTCAGCATCTCTATATCGGTTCATGTGGTAATTATATAACGAAGCTAAGTGTCCTATACTCAAACCAACTTCATGATCATCTGGTCCTAATAACTCCTCCTTAATATGTATAGCTTTTAGATGCATTGCTTCAGCTTCCTAAAATTATTGATGAAATATAATAATCATGTTCTAAATTTTTAATCAATATATTTACGCGAAATATGTACCTTACATTTCCTCATGCTCTGATACACACGTCCTAAATTTCCATAATGTTTTGCTGTTTGTACATTTCTTTCACCAAATGCTTCTTTTGCTGATTGCAAAGCAGATAAATGAAGGCATTCAGCTTTAAATAGTAGATTTTGTTTCGATAATGGCGATGATGTACTATCTAACGCTATTTCTTCGAGAATTAATGCATTTATTCTTTTTGCACTTGCTAACAATAAATGATCCCCATGTAAAAGGTTTAGCATTATGTCTATTGCTTTCTCAATATGAACACTATTCATTTAAAGTGAAATAAAATTATATGATTTTAATAAATTTTTAAAAATAATAAATTATAATAATTTACCTTGCTTCTGGAAATTCACCAGATCTATATTCATATACATAAAGAGCATAAGCTAAATCCTCATGTGCTAATGCAACATGTAAATTCATTTTACCAAATATTTCCATTCTAATTGCTAATGCATTCTACAACAAATAAGAAATATAATAAGATTAATAACATATAATTATAATGCACAAGTAATAATAACAAATAAATTAATAATTGTGAAAATTATAATAAAATAATAATCTTATTGATTTATATTACGAACGTACGAACCTTATAGAGATTTACACTGTTAATTATGTTATCAAAGTTTAACCAATAAAATCCATAATCTATAAGGACATTACTGTACACTGGATGATCAATACCAAATACTTCTTTAGCAAGATATACAGCTTGTCTGATTAATAGACCAGCTCTCTGAAATTCGCGTTTTAATACACAAGATTTTGCTGCCTGCCTTAAAACATCAACAGTGATGCGTGCAGATAACGTAGGTTTCAGCTGTTTTAATGCTTCTATACTCCATCTAAACAATTGTGAAATTAGTGAAATTGAAAAAAATAACAAATTTTGTAGAAGTAAGATATAGTGCATACCTATAAGCTTCGTCATATTCGCTTTTCATATAAAAAAGTATACTAAATTCAGTATATATAGCAGCATAATTATAATCATTATACCCTGCCTTTTTCAATCTTTCTATTAATTCTACAGCAAGTTGATGAGTTTTTGCTGCTTGTAAAAATTCACAATATGCAGCTTGTACATGTAAAAGTCTAAATTTTTAAATGCTTATTATAAAATATAAATCAATCTTGAAAAACACACTAAATATAAATAAAATATATCTTACTTTCTGCAACATTCTAATGTTCTACACCAATTCTGAGGTATAGAATTATTTGCAAAACATAATTGTTTGCATGCTAATAACACCTGTTCACTTTTTGCGTACCAACCAGCATCACTGAAAAATCCACCAATTCTTAGACCTAAATTTATTAAATTTTCTTCAGCAGCTAGATTTTCACTAACATCAAGATAGCATAATGTATAAGTGATGCTTAATTCTTCTTCTACTCGTACTCCATGATCTATGAGACTCTGAAAAATCAAAAAAAAAATAAATAAATGTATACAAAAAAATTTTATATATTTATATCTTATTTGTATTTTTAACAAATATAAGTAATTACTTGAAAACTCTGTAACAAATGTACACGGCGGCTAGTAACTGTTAACATTTTAGAAAAAATCTCTAGATTGCTGAAGTCAATTCCCAATAAACATAATCTTTTTTCTTTATACAACTGTAAAAATGAAATATTTAATGGATTATTTTTGTTGTTGTTGCATTATTATATTGATTTATAATGTAAATTATATAATAATCACATTTTAAAAAATTTATTATATATTTAATTAGAAAGTATTAGCTATTAAATTATAAATATTTAATTACATAAGTTATAAAAATGTTGCAGTTTCTTTAAGGTAATTAATAAAAAATTTAAAAAATAAAAAAAACAAATAAATTGATTTTTACGCACTTGTCAAAATATAATTTCGCATAACTCATACGAGATCATGTTCATCACGGAATAAATATATAAAATTTATTAAAAAAAAATTGATTTGTTATTGTGAAAATTTATGCATGAGCAAAGTATTTTTTATATTTAACAAATCGTATCACTATTTTATGAATCATTATATTGCATTGTAAATATATGCAAAATAAAAAAGTAAAATATAATAAATATAGGTTAAACATATGATATATATCATTTTATAACCCCGTTTTATTGAATCATTTAAATTTATTTACTGTTATTTCATAAATTAAATCTAATTCTATATAATCTTATCGATGTACATAATGTCAAAATACATTTTTGTCAAATAAGTATAACTGTCACAATACAGTGTTATGATACTTTGAATGTTTTGATTGAACATGCGATATTATTTTATGAATGTGCGAAACAAAAAATTAAATTCATGAAAATAAATCGTTCATTTTGCAATAATCTTGATAATAGAAAAAATTTTGATTAAGTTAAAAAAAAAAAATATATTTATTACTGTGTAAAAAAGCGTTCTAATCGACAACATAATTTGACATTTACCTGATAGTAAACATCGAACAATACATCATTCGGTAAATCGGGAAGATACTTCCTCAAATTTAGAAACTTGTTTGCTATCGCTAATACACTCAATTGGTAAAGAGTTTTTGGGGAAAACACCGGTGGATTACGTGTTTCGGCCATTTTCCTAGAGGCCTTCGATAATCACGAACGCGCACACAGCCGTAATAATTGCTGTCACGTCTTTGTGCGCATATGCTGCCGCGATGCTCCGCCATCCAACCACCAGCGACAACCCCCACTTAGAACGATAGTAAAATAATATATGTGTCTAGCGCACCAGATATAAGCAAAATACTTTTTTCTTTTACATTTGTTGTTATAATAATTATACAAACAATAATTATACAAACGACAGAAATTATATTTTTGCAATAATTGTTATTGAATAATAAAATATTGAATTTAAAAATTAATATATTTTTCAAAATATATTAGCTCATATTAATTATAAGATCATATATCAAATCAATATTATAAGTCGATTTTTTATAATATTAAATATATATAGAATGATACCTGTTAATAGAAAAGGAACACGATGAATTTCAAAATTGAATTTTGAAAAACTGATTAAAGACATGGATTAAATATCTATATCGAAAAAGCGACAGTAGATATACATAGTTCAGAAAAAAGAGAGTCGATATTGTTGTGATCGTGAAAGAGGCTGATTAATGGCGCCAGCATTGGGCCATGTCTTCTTTGGCCCAGAATTCCTTTTCCGAAAATACGACCAGCGGAAAAAACGTCTAAGGTGATTTAATGTTATCGACATTTTTTACACGATATAAAGTGATTAAAAACAATAATCTGCGTGCATAAGTGAAAGGAAATTGGTACGCATACTGCTACCAATTGTGAAAGTTTGAATGTCAAATCGTATGCTTTTGATCGCATTATAAATCGGATGTCCCGCATTGAACGATTGTGTCAATGTGGTGAACAAACGAATCTGAGTATCAATTGAATTTTTTACTTTGTTTTCTACAACTTTGTATATTTAGATCATATTTGCATACTGAGAAATATGTAATTATAACCTTGCATTATCAAACACTTATATGCCTATCTCATTATCGATAATTAGAGTTTTATTGCAATGATAACAATTACCTGCCAATAAAGTTGCTTTATGTACGTGTTATCACGTATTTAAACATATTATTCATTTCTAATACATGTCACTTATATATATGTATGTAGTTTATACATATACGTAATTTATTTTAAAAATACATATGTTTATTATTCATTAAAGCATTATACTTCCAAAATGTATATTTTGAAGAGATATTATATTTCAAAAGAAAAAAAAATATTAAAACTTTTAACATAGATAAAATTTGATATCAAATTTAAAACAATCTAATAATTCTAAAGAAAAAATCTAATTATTCGGTATTATTGAAAAAAATCTTTATTATATAATTTTACATTATTTTACGTTTTTATTTTAGGGGTACGTTCGATGGTGCACAAAGTGCACAGGATGGAGGAGGAATGCTCTCAAGAGAATAAAAAAGTTGAGACAACGATGCAGACTACGGTCGCAGTAGCGAATACCTCATCAGATGACGTTTGTAACGCACGGGCACGTGTATCTTGCCAAGAAGAGTTTACATGTTCTTTGTATATCTCGCGTGCTGTCGGGCCACAAGGTCAAGTGCAAGGAATACAAAGTGGCAAGTTGCTACTTATTTAAAAAATTTTCCGCTTATATATGTTATTTCATATTATACATATATATACACACACACACACACATTTGCAAAATGCAAATGATTTTTTTAATTATTTCATATTTTTTTCTTTTTTGAAGCGATAACTTTCTTGAATTATACAATCGATATTTGGTTATCAGTATATTGATAGGAAAATTTTTTTTTTTTGTTATATTTGAGAAATGTTCTTTTTTTCAATACAAATTGTTTTAAAACAATAGTTTCCCTACTTTTCCTTGATATCTTGAACTTGTTAGACTTGACGAATAAGTTATGCCAGGTGGCGAGCTGCTACGTTCTAATCTAGAAGAGGTAATCCGCGCATCCGACCCCTTAGCAGCCTGGCACGTGTCTGAAACACCTTGTGGTTTGATTGCGGCATTTACTTGCGAAGCTGATGCAGAAAAATTGTTGCAACGTGGCGATTTGGCACGTGTTTTCGAAGGACCTGTACAAGTATTTATTATCCTATCCATTCCAATTCCTTATTTGTAACTTATATATATATATATATATATATATATATATGTCGTAAAATATGTACCGATTTAAATTCAAAACATATAAAATAAACGTGTTAAATACTATTTAATTTTATTAATAATTTACCTTGAAATTTGATTTGTTATTCAATTTTGTTATTATATTTTTTGCAAAATAAAAAACTCTCGAATTCAAAAGTAAATCATATATAACATCATTGCCCACATAATCGCTGCTTCACAACCGTAATCGCCGTTTTCCTTTCGCTTTCTCTTATGCAAGAAAATGAGATAACAAAACTTGCACAACATGAATCATTAAATCTTCGTGTTTAAAGAATTTGATCATGAAGATTTTATTTATGCATTTATTTATAATTATTTTCTATTTTTATATATTTTTATATATAAATGAAATTTAATTTTTTTAAATTTATTTCCTTCAAATTAGGTGGCTCGATTTTCAGCGAAAGATTCTCGTTATAGACAAGCGGTTCTTCTTCGCGATGTACCCTGGGCTATTCCTTTACAGGATATCAATTCTGCATTAATGAAACAAGGAATTGCAACAGGAAGTGTTGAACGTTGGCGACAATATATACGCGTTGAGGTAATAATTCAAAGTTAACAAAACAATGATAAGGAGAGAAAAAAAAAAAGATTTTTGCTAAAAAAAAAAAACTCGTAATTTTAATCGCTGATATCGTATGATAATTTGATTAATTTAATATTATATTGTTATAATAATCTACGAATGATTTATATATAATTTTGTTATATTCATATTTAATTTTACGATCCCAATAATTTTTTGTTATATATAAATATTTATAATATGTTATATATATTATATATATTATATAATGTTATATACAAATATATTATATAAATATTTTTAATAGAAAATTAATAGAATTTAATAGAAAATTATTATTGAGATTGATGATAATTACTTAAAATATTCTTGTTAGGTATTAGATGCTGGACATTACGAACTCTTATTGCGTCAAGGACTGGACTTTTTCGGTGCTGCTCGATTCAGTGCCATCCCAGAGCGTTGGTGGCGCGGAGGAACCGGAAGTACTGGTGGACCGTTGCAGGCAGGACCAGGAATAGTTAGCAACTTTCTCGAAGCATCTAATTTTCAAACAGGGGACGGTGTTCTCCAGTGTTATCGTTGCCAGGGATTCTGGCATATGGCTGCCAACTGTAGACACTTGCCACGTTGCGTTCGATGTGGAGAACCACATAGTGTTGAGTTTTGTCCCAGACCTCGAAACAATCCTATTTGCTGTCATTGTTCCGGTCCTCATCATGCTGGTAAGCATTTCTTTATATCTTAAATTAAACTTCACAATTATTTTATTAAAAATAAAATTGTTAGAATTGTTTAATTATGCAAAACGTAGGATCATATAGCAATATAAATAATTCATAGTATAATTCAAGTTTACGAACAAAACTTATTTGAAATTACTTGAAAATATTTTAAAGTTAAATAATGTTGAAAAAGTAGAAAAGTATTAGTAGACCAAATTTGACACTAAATATTTTTTTTTTTTTCTTATTGAATCATCTTTTATTTTAATTTTGACAATTTGTACATAGACTTACGATATTTGTCATTAACTTTATACACATTATTAAATTGATAAGTTCATTAATGTAATTATTTTGATTTTAAATATATTTGTATGTTGCCATATTCCAGGCTACCGACAATGTCCGGTTCGACAACAACTTTCGAACGCTACGCCTATTAGTATCACACTAAGCACTACTCGGATTGGAAACCAATATCCCATGAATGCAGCCTCCAAGACGAACGCGTCCGCTCACGAGCAACAGCCCTTGAAGTCAAGTCAATCTTAACGAAATATTACTGCACGTCGACGTATCGACTGTCCATATATTGACTTCAAGATCTTGTAAATTGCTCGCGTTTATCACTGCTTATTGGTATATTACGATCAGTTATACGGTCAGTTATAAATTTTAAAAAAACAAAGAAATTAATGGAGAAACGATGAACAAAACTATTTCTTTATTTTTTATATGTAATTTAAACGAGTTTTTATAAATTTTAATCGTTATATTATTATACTCGTTAAATAACTGAAATTAAAGATAATACATGTATATAAAAGTAACATTTTAATTATTTTCAATATTCGAATGCAAATCATGTAAATTTTTGAGATTATCAGAAACATAATGTAAAAATTAACCATATATGTACACACTAACCAGACGATTTTCTACTTTTCGTCCTACTTTCTTCGTCCTAGTCTTTCTGAATCTGGGTTCCCCCTCCTTCAAGTAAATTCGTGCATATTGTTGGACGATACTTTGTAACTGATAAAAGAATGAAAATGGAGGGGTCTGAACAGGTATACTTGCGAATTCTCTAGATCGATAGATCACGGTAGAGGGACGCCAGTTAATTCCCGCCAGATACTCGTTCCATCGGCGCAGTTTAAAGTTGTTTCTTCGAGGGATATTCAGAAATTTGTCGAGTATTGTAGAAATTCTGAATCGATCGAGACTATTGGCATTAACGTTCAATTTCTTAATATTACTGCGTGCATTGTAAATGTTCCGTTTGCAATCAACTGTTTGCAGCTAAATATTAAATCTTTATAGGTGAGAAATTTTAATAATAACGTATAGAGTGTTGTTACTTTTTATCAAGAGTGTGATCAATATGTGAATCGGAGCACAAGAATGAAGAGAAAAGAAAAAACTCAGGTATCACTTTTCACATATATTGTATAAAATAATATAGCCAAACGAATGTATAATATGTTATATGCTTTATTAATTTAAATACGAGTGATTATATATATTTAATTTTTTAATATTAGAGTTTTGTTAAGATTGAATTAATAATTATATCAGAAGATATGCACAAAAGTAAATTAAATTTTTGCTTTTATGTAGGAATTTATATAAAACGCTATATTTTGTTTGAATGTTATGTAACCTATATTTAAATATTCCATTGTATTTATTCCTTTTTCTTGTATTTTTTCTTCTTCAGTAAACATGATTTAACAATTAAATATTTCTATGAGATGATAAAAAATAATTATAATTTTTCATTTTTTTTGTTTCTTAATATTCAGTTGCGAAAACTTTTATATTGCAGCTTTATATTTTATAAAAATTTAACTATTTTTACATTAGCTACGATTGAACAGAAAAAAATTCTTAAAAAAAGCGAATGTTTAAATAAGCGATTAAATTAAATTCATAGAAATTTATTTCTTATTCAGAATTCAAGGCGATAAGAATTGATTCCATTCGTAACAAAGGCACTGATCAAATCTGCAATGCAACGCATGTTTCACTTGTATTAATTTAATTTCTGTTTTCTTAATCTATCTGTGATCTAACGATTTTCAGCATGATAAGTTCGAGAATGTGATTAATATGAACATATAAGCAAGATAATATTCGTAGTGCAATACGATTTAAATCATGAGCTCTACAGGATGGATATTGTTCTTGATTGCGGCGATCATCTCTAACAGTATTCAGCAACCGATCTTCTTCAAAAACACTTTCAAAGGATTGAATGGTATTTCGAAGGCCGATACGTTAGACAGAAATGAGATCAGAGCTGTTTATTATCATGATCAGACCGTGGCAGTGGTTGATCTTGGCATTAATAACAATGAATTGCATAATTGCAATTTGATCGAAGTATAGTAAGTACTTTGGATTAGATTGAAATCAATATTTATGCATAAATTAAAAAAATGCATCGGTATTTATAGCGAGCAAGATGAAGCCAATGAAGTTTTGAGGAATTTGTCATCCATAGTAATTCCTCAGCTGGTATCTTTCTCACAAATGACGAAACTTATACAACAATGCGAATTATTGGACAAGATGCAGCACGAAAAGTTGTCTACAACGACATCAAACAGTGTAAATAAAGATAATTATGGAATGAGTAATGTTTTGTCTCTTCTCTCAGGTATCTTACCAGGTTCGTGATTATTGCAGATTTTCTTGTTATATTTATAATTTTATCTATATTTTGATATAAATTTTGATGATTTCATAGGTACAAAATGGTGTGGTGCCGGGGACATAGCCGAGAATTATCATGATTTGGGTCAAGAAGTTCAAATTGATAGGTCAATATATGTCAAAATAGATTTAAAATTACTAGAAAATTATATTTAATTAATGTACGGTTTTCAATATGTTTAATTTTTTCAGATGTTGTCGCAGTCATGATCTTTGTCCTGTAAAAATTCGAGGTCAACAAACACGATATAATCTTACAAACTATTCCGTATATACCAAGTATGAAAATATTATAAAAATATTACTTATCTTATTCTTAGAGAGATTGTTTGTGATTAATGGTAATGGAAATAAACTTTTTACCTTTCTAGGTCACATTGTGTATGTGATGAAGCGCTATATCGTTGTTTGAAAGCCACGACACATCCGACGGCACATATTATGGGTCGTATATACTTTAATATAATAAAAATACCTTGTATTGAGGATGTACCAGAGAAAAATACTTCCATAGAGTTAGAACGACAATTTATTCCTGTTAAGATGAATTATTGAAACAAATGAAAGATCGTTATATATTATCAATAATTTAATATTTTTATACAATATAAAGTATAAAATCAGGAAGAAAGACTTATTATTTATAATTATTATTAATATTATATATATGTAAATATTATATATCTTACACAAGTTAATCATTTAACTAATAGAGTTTGCATTTATTGATATTGTTGAATTGTATGTAAGACTGTTTGCTTCAAAACTGATTCAGAAATAACTTCTTGTATAATTTTTTTTATATCAACAGAATTGTGATTATAAAGATTACCTAAAAATTGTTTTTACAAAATATTTAATTTTTCATTTAAATTTGTTATATCAAACAATTAATTTTATAACAATAACATATTTATTATTATTACCTATTAGCCATAATGTTTCTTTCCTAATATGCATATACTGACATAAAAGCAATTTATTTAATAATGTTTTTAAATTTGATAGTGAATATTTTGAATTTTCCAATAGAAACTTTGCGAATTCTCCAGATGTTTCTTGTACGGTATTAGCTAATATTCTTATACATGCTGTGATCTATAAAAAAAAAAGAACTTTAGTATTATATATAGTATATAATATTTATATATACTTATATATACAATGTTTATATAATATAAACATATATTATCATTGAAACAAATACATACCTCTATTATTGATGTGATATTGTTTATGCTATTTTCATATAAATAATCAATTATCAAAGGGATTGCAGAATATAAATATATGTGACATGATATTTCTGAAGATAATAATGCAAGTAACCAAATAAAATATGAATCTTCAAATGGAAAATTTCTCTTTATAGTAGCATTGATAAGTTCAATAATTTCTTCTTTTCTAAAAATATTCATACAATTAATGGAATATTTTAAAATATATTTTAAAAATTAAATGAAAAAAATAATAAATAATAAAAATAGTCATTACAAGATGTATTGAAAACCAATATGTACATAATGCATAGCAGTATAGGCTACTGAAGACACAATTACATTATCACAATTGTACATCAAGGATATAATATATTTCAAACAATCTTGGGCATGAAGAATTTCAAATGCTTTATTACTTCCTGAAATTAAATTTCCTATTGTCCATATACATATTTCCTAATGAGAAAAAATATATTATTTCAAATATTTTTACATCATAATTGTAATATAATCTTTAACTTTTTAGCTTACCAATAAAGAATAATTTAAAGTATCTAATTTTGTAATAAGATATGGTCCAATACTTTTCGTTAATGAAGTACATGCTTTAGCATTTCCAAGTGCTATATTACAAGAACAACTAATAGCACATAATTGTAAAACAGGATCATTACCAGAGAAATCACGTACCAGTGCAAATAAGATGTTATCCACTTTTAAAAACGAATTAACATTTTCTTCACTCTAATAAAAAATAAAAAAAATATTATATCATTAGTATATTTATTATTTATAATGCATTTGAATTATTACCTGAATAAGGGCATTTTGAAGCTCTTTGTACTCTTCAATAGATAATGCTTTTTTTTTAAGAGCTTTTGCTTTTTCAATTACAAACTCTGTTGTAAAAGATGAATTCGTTGTAATATTTCCTAAAGCCACACGACTTTTATTTACTGTTTTCATACGATTTTCCTTTCTTTCTATATGAATCAATTCTCTCAATCCTTCCCTAATAACCTCTACAGCATTTTCTTTTATTGGTTCTTCTATTTCCATTTTATTTTTATTATTAAAATAATTATACAAAATTATACAAAATTAAATTATATAAATTACTTTGTAGAACAAAAATTTTAATGATATACTTTTTGCACGATATTTATAAAACATTGGTCTTTAAATGCAACCAATCAGGAAATATTAATCAGCTGATTAAAATTGAAATAGATAAAAAATTAACAAAATACATTAATTAAATATATACATTTATTCTTTTTTTCTTTAATTTAATTTAATTTAATATTATAATAAAAAAATATAATTTTTAGTTTTTTGAAATGTCTATAAATAAATAAAAAAAATAAAATTATAAATAAATAATATATATATATATTATTATATTTTGATATTATAATTAATTGGAAAATAATAACTTTTCGAGAAATTTAATAGTCATTCGAGACAAAATCATCATTGATTAATTGATTATCTTCCTCTATTTCTTCATTTTCTTGAATTCGACAAATCGATAGGATATTATATATAGCATTTGGAAAAGTGGACGTTGGACCAAGAACGTGCAATCGTATATCGCATTTTTCTAATGTATATTTCCATTTTAATTCAGTGCGTTGAGGAAGTATCATCTCCTAATAAAATTTATTAAAAAATACTGAATTAAAATTATTACAATTTAAAAAATTATTATATTTTAATAAATTAAATTATTATACTTTAATAAAAAACATTCACAAACCTGAAATTCATTAACTGTGCAACCAAGGACACGTTCAGCTGCATCTCCGAATAATCGACAACCAATAAGATATCCTGTGCTGTCTCTTAAATTGACTTTTAGATTAAGACTCATTATATTTAAAGGCACGCGAGTTCCGTTGCCTGAAGGACATTCGAGATTCATACACGAATCTCGATTATCAGGAATGATTTTCTTACATAAAGCACTAAAAAACATGAACTATTAAAAAATATTGAGGAAAAAAAGGAAATGCACTAACCATCTTATAGATATTATTCCAGGATTTAAATTTTCCACATTTATATCCATTACGTAAGCCTTTAAAATCGTAGCAAATTGAATTCTTTCTCCTTGTTTTGATTTTCTGTTTAGTTTTTCCGAAATTTCTTGAATAGTCATAACACTCGTAATCGTATCCGCTAGAAAAATAAAAAATCAAATTATTATAATTTTTGAAATCAAAATATTGTTTCAAAGTAAATATAAAATTAAAAAGATATAAAGCAATATAAATCTCAATAAAAAATGATTCTTCTTATATATGCTTACGATTTGGTGTCACAAAGTTTCCGGACATAATATCATGTTCGTAAAATTGTACCGCGTTTCTTATAGTCGTAGTTTGCGATATATTTGGATTTTCGGTAATCATCGTTTTTTTAGCTAGAAATTCATAAACAAAGTCAGAAAAAAGTTAAAATTATATGAAAATTTTTCTTCAAATTCAATTTTTTGAATTACAACCTGTAGATAAAACAATTTTTTTTTTAAAATTGTCGTATGCGATACGAACATCCACAAGAAGGAGTACAGTACGTTTAGGTTCCCATAAAGCTGCTTTTTCTATCCATTCATCTTCCCAAAGTATTAAAGACACTACTTCATCCGTGGATCCGTCTACTGCTTCAAAATTACGGAACTTTATGTCCCTGCCATCGCGTGTTATCACATTTCGAATATCACTGATCTATTCAATACGAATTTTACATAAGTTTTGAAGTAAAAAGTAATATAAAAACAAAAATTTCGAAATATCTAAAATATTTCAATTCAAAATGTTTTTCTTATAAAGTTACGCAGATAGATTTTTAAAAAATCTTTTTTACAAATATTGTTTTATATTTAAGACAATATTAATAAAAATAAATTTAAAACAAAATTTTTATCAATATCCTTAGATGATTTTTAAATAAATATGATTTTTAAAACATACAAAGGTAACAACCACCAAGATGTCGACATATTGATCGCATAGCGCTTCTAAGTTCTCAAAAATGCTTTTCAAAGTTCGTAGTCCGTTCAGATTCTTAATCGGGAGCATCAGTAAAGGTTCATATTTTGCGCGTGTTGGTGCATCATGAATTTGTACTAACGCGTTGCCCTCGTTTACGGTCAAGTTACATGCGCTGGACACCCACGGCATGAAAAGTTCGTTCCTGTCTTCTGGACGACGCGCGATTACTTTTGGATTAATTACTTCCACTGTAAGTCAATTTAATTTAAATTTATATATAGTTTAATTTGATATATGTATAATGAATGTATAAAAAAATCAAAAAGTAAAAGAATTAGAAATTATTAAATTAGAAGAAAGAAAAAGAAAATATGCAGCGCATAATTCAAGTTTAAAGTAAATTTATATTCAAATTCAAATATTTTATACTCAAATTAAATTCAAACATTTAAATTTAGTTCAAATTTTGAATTTAAATTTTATTTGATAATTTAATTACATATATTATTATTTTTAATTTATTACAAACCTACGCTACCAATATGAAAACTGGAAAACAATTTTTTAACAAATTGTATACTGCCCCATATGGTTACATTTATAGAATCCTCTATAGAATCACGTAACGTGAATGTCCATACACTTCGATCGCCATTGTTAACTGTAATTATTATAATATATAAATTAATAAAATTATATAGATATTTCATGAAAAACTTTGTCATTTTCATGCAAAAATTTAATTCAAAGAAAAGAAAAAAATAAAATTCATACATCTCGTTCGTGTAGCATCAATCGTTTTCATATTGAAACTATTTACAATTATACCAATTACAAGTGCATTTTGCATACCAGGTTGTAAAGATTTTAATGCTTGTTTATACACTCCTGACATTTTCAATTCTATTTTAATTTAAACTATATCTATTTATAAACTATATTTACTTATAACTGTATATATTTATCTATAATCTATATATATTTATTTATAATCTTTATATTTATATTTTAAATTGAAATTCCACTTTGTTCTTAATATTGTTTCTGGAATAAATACAAAATAATTTTTACCGCCGTTGTTGCCAATATTTTAAAATTTAAAGTATTAATTTTTTGCGTATTTAATTTTTTCAAATTATTTTTAAGATAATTTTTATTTTGACTATTTTTTTTTAATCATTAATAAAATAAAATAAAATATTTTATTATATTTCTTGATAAAATCATTATTAAATATAAAAATATGAGTAATTCTGATAGCAAATATTAAAATATTATTATGAATCAGGCTTAAATGTTTCTGTTTAAATGTTGGTAATTCTGTCACTGATGACACTTGATTCATTTTCATTGACTAGTGACGTCGGTTCATGGGAGGTGAATATTTGTGCGAAGTTTATGATTTAAGATATTTTTAAAGATATTACAAGTGTCAAGATTTCATATAACCATGGCTGATAACGAACAGAAGGCAATGCAATTATTAGTGGAAGCTGAAAAAAAGTTAACATCTTCAAAGGGCTTCTTCGGTTCGCTATTTGGGTACGTTTATGACATCGATTTACTTGAACTCGTCCACTACTAAATCTGCAATTTCAATATGTATTTCATTTACTTTGATTTATAGTTAAAAGAAACGTAATTTTTTTTTTTTGTTAAAATAATTCATTTCTTCATATCTTTTTCCTTACCGTTCAATAGATCGTTCATTTCTACGTATTTTCACATATATATCTGTATATGTAATAATTTCTATTAACGATATAGCATATCAAAAACTAAATTAAATCGAAAAACATGAAAATATATACTATCTTTTAACTAACTATTTTAATCATTTGACGTATTAATATTTTATATTCATTTTTTATTATATTTTTACTTTTAGATACAATATCTGTTACTTGATAACTTTTAATATCTATTTTTTTTCATATATCATTTATGTTTCATATATATACATATATATATATAATAATACAAGTTATTAATATAAGTTTTAATTATTTATATATTTTTATTATTTATATTACTATTATATTTACTTATAGAGGATCATCAAAGTTTGAAGAAGCTGTAGAATGTTATCAACGTGCTGCAAATATGTTCAAGATGGCAAAGAATTGGAGTTCTGCAGGAAGTGCATTTTATGAAGCAGCAGAGTTACATGCTAAAGCAGGCAATCGTCATGATGCAGCTACTAATTATGTAGATGCTGCTAATTGTTTTAAAAAATCTAATATAAATGGTATAATGATAGTGATATATATTTCTAAAAAGATAAAAAGTATAAATAAAAATATAAATCTATTATTTTATATCTTTTCTAGAGGCAATCAGTTGTCTATTAAAAGCAATTGAAATTTACACTGATATGGGTCGATTCACAATGGCAGCCAAACATCATCAAAGTATAGCTGAGATGTATGAAAGTGAAGCTGTAGATCTTGAGAGAGCAGTTCACCATTATGAGCAAGCTGCTGATTATTTTCGTGGAGAAGAGAGCAATTCCTCTGCAAATAAATGTCTTTTGAAAGTTGCACAGTATGCTGCACAACTTGAAAATTATGAAAAAGCTATTCAAATTTATGAACAGGTAAGTTAAAGATTTCTATTATTTTAAATTATTGCCGAAAAAGAAAAGATTATCAAGTTCTGTTTTCTAGGTTGCATCTGCATCTTTAGAAAGTTCTTTGTTGAAATATAGTGCAAAAGAATATTTTTTCCGAGCAGCGCTATGTCATTTATGTGTTGATGTATTAAATGCTCAACATGCAATTGAACGTTATCAAGAACAATATCCTGCATTCCAAGATTCTAGAGAATATAAATTGATAAAGGTATAAAATATAGAATTTGAAAGATAAAGAATTTGAAAGATTTTATTGAAAGATAATAAATTTTTTTATTTAAATGTTATAAAACTTTTGTATATTTGAAAAAAATTCGAAGTTATTTTTCGATTCAATTTCAATTTCAGACATTAATAGAACATATCGAGGAACAACAACTCGAAGGTTTTACAGAAGCAGTAAAGGAATATGATTCAATTTCACGATTGGATCAGTGGTACACAACAGTATTATTACGTATTAAAAAGCAAGTTGACGATAATCCAGATCTGCGCTGATCGGTTGTTCCTATTTTGTGCTATTTCTTATCGATGATATTATTAATCCAATTCTATATGTATTCTTTTTTAAGTCATATCCTGCTTTCAGTGGAACTTGTAAAGTAGTTTCGTTTTTGTACCCAAATATATTTTTCATAACATCTCCTTGCTCTCTTGGCAACTATTACATTCATCATTTAAATTATCATGAATTTATAGAATATTGTCATTAAAAAATATAAAGAAAAAAGAGAGAAATGAACTTCAAATATTCTACGATCATTAGTAGTTAATTTAAAATGCCCATATACAAGGCATAAAATTAAATATAGAAATAAATAATATTTAAACTTTGTTGATATTCTCACATTTATAAATATATAAATAGCTTGCCAGAAGCTCCAGCTTGTGCAGTTTCATTTTGCAGCATGCAATTAATTATTCAATCAAAAATAATTTATGTTTATTCATTAGTCAGTAGATGTATAATTTTATATAATATTTTTAAAATTTGTTAATATTTATTAATAACTTGAAGTAATTATTAACAATAACAATATATATATATATATAAATGCAATATATAAGATTTTATAGTTACCGAAAAACAGTTACAAATTATGTTATTATATAGATTACTACTTTCAATAACAATATCATTCGATTCTGTATCTATGTTTCACTTGGAATTGTTATAACAAAATGATAGGTCGTCAGTTATCTTTACACTGCCAGAGTATCAGAATAATGAATATGGTATGCATATTATAATCTTCGGAAAATGATGTATTTTGTATATTGAATTTTCTTGTTTTTCTTAAATTTTAATTTCTGTAAAATTGTATTTAAATTACAATTTAAAATTTTAATTATATTTTCTATATTTTATAAAGAAGATTGAACATATTCATATTGTTGGAAACTGAAAATGACGGTGCATTTAATTACAAATATCATAACATCTTATTTTTGTTTTATTAAAATTAATATTTATTCATATTCTTCCATTGTTGAAAATTAATTTTTTCATTGTATATTTGTACTTAGACATAGAATTGAAATAACATATATTAGTAATTAAAAATGCGATAAATATTGTAAAAAAAAAACTTTATTTTAATTAATTTATTGTTATTTAGCAAATTGGATATTGTGAATTTACTACAATATTTTATATTTAAAATTGTATTGTTTGAATATACATTTATGAAATATATACATATATAAATATTCCATTGTTAAGTAGGGATAAGTAATAAAAATTTTTGCATGCACAGAAAATAATAAAGTGCATTTCATAAATATTGCGAAAAAAAAACAATTTTTGATGCACATAATTAATATTGCGTTATTTCCATTATGGAATAGTTTTGAATTGTAAAAAAAATTCAATAAAAAAGAGTTGCAGGTAGCGAAAAGTAATGTCTAGATTATATATTCTTCTATATCTTCTTTGAATATATATTACGAAACATATTAATATATGTACATATATGTTAATATATTATTTAATAATAATTTAATATTTAATAAGTAATCAATAATTTATTCATCAACGTACGATCAGTACTTGTTTTTTTGAAGATAAATAACATTTAAATTCAAAATTGTATCTTACTTAGTTCTAATTATTATTATGTTGCGTATTCAATTTTTTCGAAATCCTGAAAACAAATATAACTTAAGTAATTTAGACATCGTCATTTAATAATTGAAAAAAAAATGACTTTTAATGATGCGATTTTTAATGAATTTGTAAATTGTGAAAGTGCGTATTCAATCATTTTTAATTTTTTTTTTTATAAGAAATCACTTAAAATTTATTTTTTTATTTTATTTAATTTAATTTATTCAAATAATGTAATGGAAAAAATTACTATGTATGTATGACATGGATACTCTGGATTTATATTTCTTTATTAGAAAACGCAGAAATTTGTTTTTGTCATTCATATAAAGATTTATTTATATATACATTTACGTATCTTTGTATTTGCTTTCTGATGATAAAAATGAAACTATACTACGATAAAAGAAACTCATATATTATTCATTTATTTTGTTTTATATTATATGTAAAACAATGATTGCAGTGTTAATATTTAAGCAACAGCACTACGTAATAGATTTCTTAGTATATAGCAATTAACATGCTTAAAAAAATACACGCTTGTAATAAATGATAAATCTATCATACCACGCAAAATATATTTAAATCATTTTATAAAGTGTCGTAGTCGATATTTAAATATTATATCGAAACTCTCTAAATTATGGAATGTTAATAAAATAGATGATATAATAGTGCTCTACTTTATTTAAAAATTTCATAAGATTAATTGTATAAAACATGTATAACTTTCTTTCAATATAATATTTAAACAATACATAAAATATATATCTATATATTATATAATGGATAAATATTATAGTGTTTTCTTCGCATTGTACACATAGATGATTGCATATTATGATAATATTACTTTGTAAATAAAAATAATTGAATACAAAGCTTAGTGTCTATATTATGAATCATTGTATTTTTAGTTTATGAATTAAAATAAAATTGAAGTTATTAATATTTCTAGAAAATAAAATAAAATATTTTCCATAATATTATAAAATCAATTTTAAATATAACAACCGCTAAAATGTTTAATGTAATATGATTGGTTCATATAAAACTCATATTTTTAACAAATTGTGCACATTGTATTACTTGAAATATTAATTATTAATATTATAAAATTAAAATACAATATAATATAAATCATATCGAAATAAAAATTAAAAAATCATGATTACTTTCCAAAATTGTATTGAAAATTTCAACCAATACGTAACAAGCGCTATAGGAAAGTGGTCTTCCTCATTGGAAGAAAGTATTTTGATATGCACACACACATATATTTCTTGTCAAGAATGCGGTCAGTGAACTGCTGGTCTTAATATTTGAATATCGATTAAAAACAATTACATCCTCAAAATATCTAAAGTGAATGGATAAAAAATTAAATAAAGAAAACTATATAAATATCGTATCGTAATTATACTAACTTTTACATATTCCATTTCAATTATATTTTTTTCATTTTATACAGAATTCTTATTTGAAAGGCAGTACTTCACGTACGAATGCTCGAAGATTGCTCGTTCTAATAGATGTGCTGTGAGCACTGCTTTCGATTACTCCGTTTTCTTTGCAAATCATTTTCTTAATTAATTTCAACTATACAACAAAATATAGAAACAAAATTTTTTTGTTTCTGTTGTGAATAATTAAGCCCCGGATCATCGAAATAGCAAGAGAATCTTGCTTTTAAATACGTTTATCTTGGGACAGGTGAGCGACCTATTTTTTGCAAACTACTTTGTCCAAAAAATAATTTTTTGCTCTCGCTTATTGTTCGAAATTTTCGAAAATTTAATTTAACTATTTTGTATTGCTGTTTTTTGCTTACACACGCTTGATAATATAAATTAAACCAATAATATCGCGGGCAATCTTTGGCACCTCAGTCACCTATTTTATAGGTTGGGTTTATAATCTCGACGAAGTGAAAGTACGTAATAATAGTCTATTAAAGAGAAAGGATTGAAGATTGTACAATCGAATGAAGATGCACGTTGTCAACGTTTTTTTACGGCGAACATAGCAACCAGAAATTTGTATGAACTTTATTTTCCATTACATTGGTACCATCTGTATTCACTTTAATTAAACGTATCTTGAAAAATTTATAACGAAACACTTTTAATTTTATAGTATACATTTTTTCACAATTTATGAAATATTTTAACAAATGATTATTTTAATATAATCTTTTATATAATTTTGTATATAAAATTTTTATATACATAAAAGTGCACAGATTTGTAATAATATAAATGTTATTACAGAATGGCACGTGGACAACAGAAAATTCAATCACAAGCCAAAGCAGCTGAGAAAGCTGCAAAAGTAAAAAAACAACAAGGACATAGTGCTAATGAGCAAAAAAAGGCTGCACAGAAAGCTTTAGTTCATGTGTGCATAGTTTGTAAGGTTAGTAATGTTATTTATTTTTTATTGTAAATTTTAGAGTTTATAATATATATTTATAATATAATATAATATATTTTATAATATAAAATAATGATCTGTTTATAGGCACAAATGCCAGATCCAAAGACATATAAACAACACTTTGAGAATAAACATCCTAAGAATGATTTACCAGAAGATTTAAAAAATATATGAGAGTAACATGTTGCACAAGCATGCAGGTTGGGATGGAGAGAGCAACAAAAAAATTATTACAAATGACAAAGTGATATAGTTCAACATTCAACTATTAAATAGTCACAAACAAGAAAAATAAATTAAATCTTGTTAGTGTTTAAAATGAACTATCGCACAGTTAACAATTGAATTTTTGTGCACAGCTCCAAATTGTAATATTATTGATAATTCATTTGTAAAACAAAATTGTTCATTTTTTTCCAAAGATACTCAATAATGTTCATCTAATACATGATCACTAAGTTTTCATTTGATTGAAATATGTATATTGTTAAAAAATAAAGTTAATCAATTTAGCAGAATAATTTACAAATGTTCATGCATATTTTAATGTTACAGGCAGTAAAAAATATTTATTGTATTTTTCACGAGTAAAAAAAAAAAAAGAAAAAAATATATGCTTATGCTATATCTTTTATTCAAATTTATAATTAACGAATTAAATGTAATAGAAAAAATTATTTGCAAAAAATAAGAAACTGCCATTTTTTTATAATGTTTTTGCCAATTATTCTACCAATAAGAGTATTAAATGTGTAATATTATAACATATATGTAATTTTCTATATGAATATTTGATCATTAAGTTTTCATTTATTTGTGCTTAATTAATATTAATTTTTAAGCAGATAATAAGAATAATGATAAAATAAAACTTGATATCAATTTTTTTACAAAATTAAATTTTATTATTTTTTATTAATACTTTATATTAATATTTAGTGCTATTCTCTACAATATTTTTGCATATTTTTTGCTTTTTCATGTGAGTAAATGATTATAGTATGAATATTATGCAATGATTTCTTTTTTTCATTCTGATTTATTTCTGACTTATATTATTATATATTTGCTATTATATATGAAAAAAAAACATATAGAAAAGTACTATACAAACGTCGTATTTATCGTATTTAAAAGAAAACCTGTTATTCTTGATAATTTTCAAATATAATATATTTTTCTTA